TCTTTTTCTTCTCTTTTTCTTCTCTTTTTCTTCTCTTTTTCTTCTCTTTTTCTTCTCTTTTTCTTCTCTTTTTCTTCTCTTTTTCTTCTCTTTTTTTTTTAACAATGTGTGGTAGGTTGACCCTGCTGAACACCAGGTGCCCACCACAGCTTCTCTGTCACTCCCCTCCTCAGATGGACATGGGAGAGAAAATTTAATTAAAAGCTTTGTGGATTTAATAAGGACAGGGGGAGTTCATTCACCAATTACCATCACTTTTCATCCCCCTGCTTCAAACATTAATAAAAGGAGTGGGGTTGAGGCAGCAAGAAATGGAAGATGGCACAGCCCATGATGGAGCTTTGTGTCTGCCTCTAGAGTTCCATAATTTCCTCGTTTTGGTGGGCAGCTTGAATGTTGATATCAACCTGGATGAATTGAGCATTTGTACAGGGAAATCAGAGTGGACATACAGTGGCTAAAACATCTGRGCTTTAGTTAGTGCACCTTTAGTTTCAGCACTAATATAAATATAGATATATTGCCTGAATTACAGGAGTGTGGATTTGCACATAAGAGACTGATCTGTGCTAAAGCTGCAGTTAATTCTGTATTTAATCCCATGCTTTTTTGGTGCCTGCTAGAAGAAAATACATTAATTCTCTTGCAAACACATATACATATGCAGAGAGAGAAAGAAAGAGAGATCTTGCACTGGCAGTCTCATGAGCAAGGAAACCTCAGCTCTTATTGGTAAAGAATTCCCCAGTTAGAAAGGCAAATACATCCTAATGCACATGCATTCTTGGCAATAAATAAAAGATGCCAACCAGTAGTGTAATTTACATTGCAGTCAATAAAAGCTGCACGRCAGTGTTTTTCTGAATGCAGTAAAATTATGCCTTGCCCTTATGGGGTACCTTTCATGCTGAAAAGGATGATAAAACCAAACACAAAAGGATGGGATGAGTTCATTAATGATGAAATAAGGCAAGTGCCTTGCTTGTGTGCAGAACTGCTGTCCTGCAGACTAACASAGACATTAACCATGGCACACAATGGGAGGAAGCACAAACTCTGACTGTTCTGTGGAGCAGCTCTGATTGCCTTTGACACCACAAAAACTTAGAGCAAATTTATTTTGCCCTACTGTGAGGGTCTATATAACTGTAGACTGACTGACTACACCTTTGGGACAACAGAAAGCTTAATCCAGCAGCTGGAGGTGTCTAGAGATGTAAAGAAGGGAGATGCAGGAGGAAAAAGACTCATTTATTTGGGGTTTCTTACGTAGTATATTWACTTAATGAAAGTTCACAGTCTTTCTGGGCTTTCTTCTAAATAAAGAGAGAATCTATGGTTGGGCAAATAGCAGAGACCTCTKCTATTTGATTTCCTTGCAGAAGAGTTTTGACATCCTGAGTTTTTCTCATCAGCATTGTGTTCCTAATCATCCYCTGTTCCCCAGAGTCAGGCTTTTAGAGGCAAAGCATTGCCTGCACAGCATTTGAGCCAAGGAACCATTGTAATTTGTATTTGTTAATAGGCTCACAGCCAACAATGAGAGAATATTTTACAGTGTTTTCAGTTGGAGATGAGGGTGAAATCCTGGTACATCCTTGTGGTSTTTTGGACAGAGTAATGCACAGATAGTGCCTGCCTGTGCTGGTGGGCCTTGGCAGATAAATTATTCGGAGCCTTCCTTGTTGTGCCACACAAGTGCAAAATTTGYCCTGCACAATTTAATAGCCCAAGCCCAATCAATCTCACTTAATTACAGCTCAGTTAACAGCTGTTGTGGGAACTCATCATTGCTTCACTGAGCTGAACACCCAGTGAGCACAGAAACAGAGCAGGAATATCTTACCTGGGCACTTTAACCTGGCTGTGGGTCAGTTTAACTGTGCCCATGGACACTTCTCCCATTTACATTTGTAATGTGCTTGGGATATAAAGATATTCAGGGTACAGGTGAACACAAGTGGTTTTATTGCTGGGCATGAAGGGATTTGAATCATGTTTGTTAATGAAGTAAAATTAAATTTTYTGCCCACATTTGCAAGAAGGGAAAAAGCAATCCACCATCTTTGGCAGGTTTGACACACTCCAGGCTGCAAAGGTTGTATCCTGAGGGTCTCATGGTAGGCACTCTGCCACCAAAGGAGGACAGGGGACTCCTGTTGTCCCTTTCTGCGCTGCAGACCTTTCTCAGGGTGATTTGCATCCACCCAACTCCCAGCATTGGACAGAATGACCCTGAGCTCCCTCCACACAGACTGACCTGTGTGCTCAGTGCAGGTGCTGAGAGCATCTGCAAGGAGATATCTGCATTTGATCAGCATCCTAAAAAGTGTTTCTSCTCCCTTCTGAGTATAAAAGAAGCTAGCAGTGACTATCTTAAACATGCAAAAACCTGAAGCTAAGCAAGATGAATCCTACCCTGGCCTCTTTATCGTCCTTCTGCCCTGGTGAAGTGATGTGGGGAATGTMCCCAGGCACTGACCACTCGTCCTTCCTTCCTTTCCAGGCCCAAGGGTAACATGGGAAACAAAGCCTTGTCCCATGACAGCGTTTTCATTTCTGAGTCTGCACCAGGGAATGTGGCAGGTGATGTGTTGTCTCAGGAGAACCTACCAGGAAGAGTGAAAACTTTGCAGGTGAGAGCATCATCCCCTCACCGATGGTGCTGCTTTGTGTCTGCTGTCTGCCTGGAAACTGCTGCTTGATTCCTTTGCTGTGTGTCTTAAAGTTTTGYTGACTGAAGTGTCCAAAGCCAAACTTTTTACTTTTGGATCTATTCTGCCTCTTGGAAGCTGCGTTTTCTGGAGTCCTGGTGCTTTCAGCCTTGCCTAGGTCTCACAGTGTGTGACGTGAATCCAGTTCATGAACTCTTGGAACCTTTCCTTACTGAGTGTTTCCTGTTCCAATGGGATTTATATTCTTTACTTCATAGCTACTGCTTTTGGGTTAAGGCCATTTATTTATATGGCAGTGTGTCCGTTACAGTGTTGTTTTTAAAATATTATTTGTGTTACTCTTCTTGGCAGTTTTTTGCTCGGATGTTTTTGCTGTACATGGTAGCACCAGTGGCTGTGTGAGTGTGTGGGATGATGGCTACATCAGGGTGCTCTGACAGCTTTATTTATATCATTATTCTTCTGATGTGTGCCAGCAAAAGATACTGTATTCTGCTGGGTCATTTCCTTCTTGGAGGCAGTGCTGAACCCTCCTTGACAGCTCCCTTATGAACTGTTTGCTGTATTAATTGCATTTAAGTATCTGCCCAGCTCAGAACACCGAGATAAAGTTTAAGGTTTTTCCAGAGAATGAATACAAATGGTTGATAAAGGAGCCAAAGGTCATTGAAATTCTTCTTTTGCTCAGTGTGAGCTTCATGTTGCAAAACACAATTGAGTCACATGTTAAGTAATAGAAGATGCACAGAGGGACTTGTCCCTCTCTAAGACCGCAAAGCAGGCTTAGTTATTTTTTTTTTTTTGGTAACGAAAGGAGTAGCAGAGGAAATCATGTTTATATATTACAGAACATTGAGAAAGGAAAGCTCTTTCCATGCTCTGTGCAGCCCACTGTGCCCTCTCCTCATCCATCCATCATCCTGCATGGTAATGTAATACTGCCAGCACTATTTCTGTAGCTGTAACAGACAGGCTTTTTCTGTGAGCTTGACTCTTSTCAGAATAAAAGCCAAACACTAATAAAAGCTGTTACTTTCTTAGCAATGTAAATTAACTTCTACCAGGAGAAGGCAGACTGTAAATTCAGAGTTCCCCCCACACCATTTTGCTGCCTGCATGTAATAAATTTAATAAATCTAGGACAGCAAATTGTGAAAAGAGACCAAAGCAAAATTGACTTTCTGTCTTTTCCTTCCCATTAAGGGCACTCATATGTTGTGTATCTTGTGTTGCCCATAKATCACAGTATTGCAATATATTGCCCATAAATTGCAGAAGAAAGCTGTTTGAACTGTGGGACTGATGTTACAGACATTGTGCTACCCTGTGTGGCTGCTAGATCTGTAGGAATCGTATTGTAAATTAATTTTGATGAGTAAGAATTGCAGGTCTTTAGGTCTATTTTACACAGGTGTAAATGAATAAATGTATGAATGAATAAATGTAAATGGGTTGCAGGAAAACACAAAACTAGGCCTAGAATTACCCAATGTGGTTTAATAAGCAAAGAAACAGAAAAAACAAGTCTGCATGTTTATCTTGGGAATATTCTGTTGAGATGTTTCCAGCTGAAGGACAAAGTTTGTGTTCAGACCTTGTTTCTATTCCAGCTTTGCCACAGCTGACAGATTTAAGCCAAGAATTTTAGTAATGGTGTTTCCTGAGATCTGAACATTTTTAATTTGAGGGAACATCTGGCTGCTTAAGAGTTTGCAGACTTTGTTTTATTTTTCTAGGGTCAGGGCCTGCCAGAGCATTCTTTTAGTGCAATCCTGGAAGAGAATCCCCACRCTCCTTTACAAACAAAGCTGTTCCTGGCTGCTGTTACCATTCTTGCTGTAGACAAGACAAGGATGTGATCAKGGGGAAAATTAACAAGCATTTCATTAGGGTGGACCAGAAATGAAATTCAATTGTTCTTACATAAAAATTGTGAGTCAGCTACTTGTGTGGGAGAGGGTTGCAACAAGTTCTCAATATTTGGAAGGGCTTTGTGAGAGAAAAGTGGCCACTTAAACTGGAACTGGGAATGCTGACTGGCAATATCTTTGTGTGACTAAAGATTTAAATTTGTGTGACTAAAGAAATAAATCTAGAATTTCGAAAGTTTCAAATTTAAGTGGAGTTAAACRGTAGTAAATTTTCTGGAATGGTGAAATTCCTGTATTCCTTTGGTAGCTTACTGAAGAAAACTGATTTTGATTTTAATTTTAATTTTGCATCAACTCCAGTTTTAATGATGGGTCATGGATGAATGTAGCTAGATAAAATTTAATTAATGGCTCTTTTCTATAAATGGTCTATTACTTCAAGTTTTTCTGTTAACTAAAAGAAACTGCATATCTAATAGGAACAACTGTGKTACAAGTGTCCAGAACATCCCTTTTAAATTATCCCATTTAAAGTCTATATTCTGAATTTCAACCACAGCTTCAGCTGCAGCAGAACATCAGACTTGGATCACCTCCTCTTGTTATAACTGGGAAAAAACTGGAAGATGCAGGTGCYGTTTCTGAAGATGATGGTTTACCTAGGAGCCCTCCTGAAATTTCAACCCTTCATGAAGTTCTGACAGATTCACCAAACAAGGTATAATTATCATGTCATGTTAGTGACTGTCTGCACAGAAAAGAGAAAATCTGCCTGGAGAAGGGGAAGACCTTTTAGCTTGCTTGTGATAAAATGCAATGGTTCACTTCAGGGAGAACCAGAAGAAATTACCTGGAGGGATCGAGGACTTGTCACTCTAAGGGTACTGAGAAAGTGACCCTACATACACCCTTTCTGGGTACAATTTTCTGTGTTTTTGTGTAGACCAGAACTGTGACTCCTATCATTAGCAAATGCATGATTTAGACTTCAGTGAACATGTGAGAATTTGTAAATCTGATGATTAAAAAAACATTTATAAGCCAAAATAATTTTATAAAATACATTGGCTCCTGTGGTCAACACTCCTGGTGTGTCTCAATGCAGGAGGAAACTCCCTCACTTTTTGATGACAATGAAGAAATGAAGCCTACTGTGTGAGGCAGGGACCCGGTGACCATTCCTTTCTTTTTCCTCTTGTGTTTTCTCACAATCAACACTGGATATCCAGCTCGAGATAATCCAGTGTGATACTTCCCTTGACTTACCCTCTTCCTCRTTTTATCCCACAGTCCTCCAACCCTGTTCAGCGTCATAGCTCTTTGAGTTTAGGCGGGACAGACAGTGAAGATGAACAGGTAAAAAGCTCCTTTTCCTGCTAATAAACTTTCCTGGCACAGCATATGTGGAGTCTATATGGAGCCAGTACAGTAATTTTATTTTTCAAAATTTATTCTGGGTATGGTGTATCCTAGGAAACAATTTTTTAAGAGTCCAGAGTGAGGAAAATTACACTTAAAATTTACCTCTCAGGGTTTTGAATAAGAAATAAAGACAGGCAGAAATCTACTGGTAAGTGGTTTGTGTGAACAGTGTAGTCAGCTCTTTGACACAGTGTGAATCTCTAAAGTTACATAAAATATTGGACCAGACAAAGTACTTCAATTCTACTTCCAAGTCCCAGGGCCCCAATACCAAATAATCACACCTTCCCATCAGCAGTGGCTTGTGAGCAATGCCCTGTATCCCTCTTATCACGGGAAATGATTTCCAGACCAACCCTTCCTGATGCCAGGTATTCCACAGGAAAAGGTGTGTTTTAATTAGCAATTTTCTTTGGGTGATAAATGACTGTCAGAAGCAGCAGGTTCTGCTGTCAGAACTACACAGTCCTTGATCAGATTGGAAAAATTTACAGACCTCATATTTTTGGATATACCTTGACAGTTTTTGTTGAGTAGAAGTGAAGATGTTTTTTATGATATTTAAAACTTAATCAGCATATATTTTTTAAATGCTGTGTCATATCCTGAGTTTATAAAAARCTAAATTGTGAATGCCAGGCACAGTGCAATGGCTGTGTCACCCAGCTTTATGAATGAGGCTTGTTTGGCAGCTCTGTGACACTTTGCAAGTGCTCCAGAAAGTCTGGTCTGCATTTCAAAACAGTAGCAAAACCACTCAAACTTCATGTTTGGGGGCTTTTCTACAAACACTTCGGTGAACTCTTTATTTTGATAGCACAGTGTAAAGTTACTGATGTTCAGTTCCCCAGAGCAGCTTTGCTGCAAGGCTGAGATCCTCATCCCTGTCTGGAAGATGGTTCTGGGATACTGAGGAGCGTTTGATTTTCCTGAAAGTGAATATTGGAAGAGAAAAGTGGCTGTGGCAGCTTCCTTAGAGATAATGAGGAGCCAGCATCCGTGCTGCTTTTGTGGCTTTTTAATAATGTATTCCTGCGCTGTGTCACGTTACCGGSATGGGAAGGGAGCGGTACGAACGGCACCAGTGTCTCCTGCTGGTGTSTGAATTTACTGCAAACGGGCTTGTGAGGAGAAAAACTGAGCCTGTGCGATAGACAGATATTCCTCCTTCTGTGCTATGCACAGCTGAGAATCTCTGATTAATCTCTATGCAGAGATGACTTTAGGCAAGCATTTTAAAGTGAGGATTTATGTGCAAAATTACAGCCATTTCAAATTCTGAAACGGAATGAGGTAACAAAGGAGCTGTTGGAGAGGTGTGGGGAAGTMAAGGAAAATATACACAGCGTTGTGTTTGTGTTTTAAAGATACCTTCTGGAGCTTCCTCCAGGCCCATCAGTCCCTCATCCTGCGCTGCTCTGGGGACCCCCATCTCCCGGGGCAGCAGTTTCCTTCCCGTGGATTTCAGCAGCCCTGCCAGTCCCCTGGGCTGCCTGGACACCTCTGCAGCCAGGCACAGGATTGCCATCAACCCTCGCAGACAGAGGGGCTTTACCAACAAACATCAGCAGTCCCTCCAGGTAGGTGTTTTCTGGAAAAGAATCGCTGAGCAGAAGGAAATTAATATGAATTTTTAATTATTATTTCAATTTATTTTTTCTTTCCTATTCACTTTCTAGGTATTTCAATTTATTTTTTCTTTCCTATTCACTTTCCTTTAATTATTCCATTGGAAGAAGGGAAAACACCTATTTTGCACCAACCAACCAACCAACCAAAAAAGMCTCCAAAAACTTTAATATYATAGAAACTGAAGAAAAGTGCAACTTRTGCTTTCCATTATTTAGCCAAAAATTGTAGGTTATGCTTCATTTCTAAAACCACTTCTGRTGTCTGAAAAGCTAAATGTCAGTTTTAAAAAGGTCTAAGTCTATTTTTACAAGTCTATTTCTTAACTGGAATAGTACATTGCCCACAGTGTTGGTAAATTATAGGATGGAGGCTTTGTGTCTATGATTTGTGTATTTATAGAAATACATTGTATAAAATAAAATTTTTGTGCATGAGTCTTCAACTAAAACATCTTCACTTCTTTAGGTGGAACAGCTGGAAAATGAAACTTGTCTTCTTGCAACTCCAGAAAAGAAGGGAAATTCAACAGAAYTTCTTGAGAGTGACAAACATAAAAKCGATTGGGAAGGTAATGAAGACATAGGTATTGCTATTTTGGGTGCTTGAACCCTTCTGCATAACGCTGACAGGACCTGTTTGAACTCTAAGTCCTTTCAAACTTGGCATCTTTTGGGTTTATATCATAAAACAAATCCTGACTGATAATTTGTGATGGAAAAAGTCAAGTACACTCAGCAAAGTGATGCTGGAGTGGTGAATTTTGAGGGCAGCATTAAAGAATACATGAGGTGAAAGCACCATGTGTCTCCAGGACACAGCTGGCTGGGCCTCACTGAATGTAAAACTGAGTTCCTTGGCACTCAGAAAACCTTAACCTTGGTATTGTATGTCACACTTTGATTGACTTGTGTTTGCTGGATCTTCCTTTGCCACTCACCCAGAGAGAATTTCCCAGGTTATTGTAGATGGCCTTTCTGGGCATACGCATGACAAAATGTCTAGGGAAATCTGGCTGATAGTCTTACAACTAAAGGTATGCACAGAAAACAAATAAACGTGGGCAAATGTGGTTACACTTGAAGCAGACAGCAGCTTTCAGTCATTCCCTAGATTAAGTGTATTCAAACTAAAGCTTTATTAGTCTCTCACTTGGACAGCTCATCTCTGAACGGGCATTGAACATGAATATTGATCAGTCAGCAGTGCCCAGACTGGGGCATTCCTGGAATGAATTAGTCACACAGATGGTGTTGGGATATAACCTTTAAGCACCCACCCTTGTCCTCTGTTACAGGATTATCAGCCCCGGTGGGACCCTGTGCAAAGGGAGCTGGTGCTAAGGAGACCCCAGGTGTACAAACTGCCACTGAAGCTGCCCGTGACTCCTGTGATTCCCCACTCGTGGCAGGAGATCCCTGTGCTTTGCTGCAAGAGGACAGGTGCCTTCCTGCTGTGGAGGATAAAACAACCCCACTGCTGAGGGCTGAGCCTTCTCCAGAGAGCCTGCAGGAGCACCCCAGTGCAGAAGGGTTGAGCTCTGCAGATGGGAGTGCAGGTGGATGGAAAGTGCATCAGCAAAGCTCCAGTGCTGAGGGAGCTGCGCTTCCAGAAGTGCAACATCTCCAAGGAGAAGCTGCTGGGACTCCAGACACACCAGGAGGTGATTTGTGCAGCAGAGCTGTGGGAGCAGTGGGCATGGATGTGTCGCCAGATGTTGCACCAAGCTCCTCAGTAAATTCTGTGGATCCAGATATTAAAGCCCAGGAAAAGGGGGATGTGCTGTTCACTGGCAAAGAACTCTGCTTTGGTAATACTGGGAATCATTCCAACCATGCTGCCTCAGATTCTGCACTGARCACTCCACAGGTTGTGGTAGCTGCTTCAGAGTCTTGTTCTGACTCCAAGACAGTGGCTGTTTTGAAGCCTGAAAACAGTTCAATAGCAAAAAATGACAAAGAAACTTGTGAAAYTATGGAATTTCAGTCATCCAAGGGTAGTGTAGRAAAAAARCCAGACACTGCTGCATCTGTCTCRGAAGCAGTTTCYGTGGTACCTTGCAGCAAATTGGAARTGTGTTTGAAAGCAGAAACTGTTCCTGTTTCAAAGGGTAACCAAGGCAGTCAACAGGCCAACACATCATACATTTCTGAAAACCTTTCCATTGGGTGTCTTGCCTCTTCGAGTTTGGCTGGCTTGAAGAGTAATTTATCTTCTGACAGTAAGGAGCTCCAGATAGGCAGTACAGCTCCTCACAGAAAAACAGCAGAAAGCAGCCAGCCAGCAGAGGAAAATGTGAAAAGTCCACCAAAGTCTGCTTCTGCTAAACCAGTCAGATTTACCATTGCACCAGCATGGCAAAGATCTCTGTCAGGGGGCTCCAATTCAAAGGAAGATTGCTTTTCCAGAAGTTCCCCAACATCCCCTATWAGACCAGAGTTCTTTGAAGGAATGACRAAAGAACACACGCGTTCTGATGCAGTTATCCAGGAATCAGCAAAAACCAACTCAGACAGGTTCGATCGAGATTGTAAGGACAGAGATCTGCATTTGAATTCTTTTATGGAGTGGGCTGACCATGAAACACAAAACTGTGAGAACCCCTTTGGGGTCARACTAAGGAGAACATCATCTTTACTAAAATACCAGAATGAAAGCCGTGTAGAGCCTCCAAAACCAATCCCCTCAGCTGTTCCCATTTCTTCTTCTGCTTCAGTCAAGGAGGATCAGAAATTGGTGGGCACTGGGAAGCCACCTACAAGCCTTCCTGTCAGCACAAAATCAGTTGTTAAAAAAACAGATCTCCTAGAAGACAAAAATCCTCCCAAGGCAAGATCAGAGGAAATGGCCAAGAAGCAAAATGGTCATAAACCTTCAGGTATTTATGCTGCATTTGTATCCAAACACTGTAGGAAACAGTGGTCATGTAAAGAGCCTTGGCARAGCAGCACAAAAAAGATAAAAATCCTTTTGTCTGAGCACCAAATTCAGCCTTGAGTTCATCAGCATTATAATTTAATTGTCTAGATGATTTGGCCAGTCTAGAGAATTCTTGGCTTATCTTAATGAAGGGTGTGTTCCAGCAAGAATAACAACAGAATAATAGCTTAAGGGCTTCTGAAACATTTCTGCTATGAGGTATTTGTGCATACAGTTGAAGTTTTTACACAGCTTTTTTAAAGTTGCTGCAGTTTTGTAGTTAAAAACTCAGTTTGCAGCTGCTCAAACCTTAACTAGGAGTTGCATTAAGTGTGATTATTTTGTTTGAACAATGACTTAATTAAAAATATTTTAAAAGTGACAAGGCARCCTGTATTTTACTCCCTACATGAATAAAAAAAATCATGATTATCGTAGTCATTTAATCTGCAATGGAAGGATGTTGTTTCAAAGGCAAAATCCAGTTCACAACGATCTCAGTGGGACTTCTGCCATTGACTTAGAAGCAGAGTCAGGTCAAAAACTCCGAATAAACAGAAAAAACACTTCTTGCCAAGGACAAAATCATCAGGGAAGGTAATTTTATCTCCACCATGTTCAAAGGGTATTACAGATGCTGAAGGATTTAAAACATGAAGCACTAGCTTTAGGCTGACTTGACCTAAATCCCTTCTTTACTTCAAAAATGCTTCTTTTGTAGAAAAAGTCTCTCCATATTTGGAAACTGCTTGCTCTGAACCAGCTTGGGTCTCCATGGCAAAGCTGAAACAAAAGGGTTTCCAGGAGCACCCTCTTGCCAAAGAACAAAAAGATGAAGACAGAGCTTTGACCAAGGTGGATCGAGAGGAGGTAGAGTAYCARGGAACGCTGCATGGRTGTGAATCCTGCCCCAGGTCACTGGGGATTGTTGYRAACTGTTCAGTAATGCTGCATGGGTGTGAATCCTGCCCCAGGTCACTGGGGATTGTTGTGAACTGTTCAGTAATGCTGCATGGGTGTGAATCCTGCCCCAGGTCACTGGGGATTGTTGTGAACTGTTCAGTAATGCTGCATGGGTGTGAATCCTGCCCCAGGTCACTGGGGATTGTTGTGAACTGTTCAGTGTTGTCCTCATGGCAGGTGCTCAGAGAGAGCTTTGCAAGCCTGGCTCTAGATCTCTGAGACAGACAACTGCTGCAAACGAGCAAATTCCTGTGACTACACTGGCACAGGGATTGGTTTCAGAGCTGGATCCTCCTATTTGTCCCTTTGCACTGCTTTGAACCTTTTCAGAGCTTGCTGATTGCCCAGGGTGTATTTATGGAGCCCAAGAGCTGCTCTGCGTTGCAGCAGCTCCCTCAGTGCCTTCTCCCTCGCTCCCACAGGATGTCCCCAGCCATCCTTGCCTGGCTTTGCTGCATTTCCACAGCCAGGTTTGAGAGGCTGCCAGGGTGAGCTTTAGGAGTGCCCATGGCTGGCAGTTAATTGTTCTTTTCTTCTCTCCTCACACTGCAGCAAGAGATCTGTGCTGGAGAGAACTCGCTGAAGAGGACGACRCCTTCCAGCTCTCAGGACAAGAAAACACAAACGAGGACCAGCGTGTCTGCAGCAGCAGGTATTCCTTTTCTTTACATYGTGGCTACAATTTGCACCAGTGAGTGGTGTGGGTGGCAGGTGATGGGTGAAGAGGCATTCCATCGTTAGGATCAGCACTCTTTATATAAAGCCTCTTCAGACCATAGTTTATGTATTAGTCAACATAATGGCTCATTCTTACTCTGCAGAGAAAGCAAGTGAGGAGCTCTTATCTCCACTGCCAGTTCATGAAATGGCACATAAACAGTCTGGTGATTTATTACCGGCCCAGGTCACTACTAAAGAATAGCAGCTGAAATTGGAGAGKGTCCAGAAGAGAGCAGCAAGAAAGGTCAGGTCTTCCAGACCTCCAGTCAGCCAGGAAATACTGCTGGGAGTGGAGTTGTTTAGTCTAGAAAAGACAACTCAATTCTCTGCAGAGGACAAGGCTAGTCTTTACGGCCAGAATGGACTTAAAATGCACCGGGGGATGTTTAGCTTAGATGTTAGGAAATACCTTTTAACAATGAGAGCAGTGACGTGCAGCAGAGCGTGGCTTGCATGTGGGGAGTGTGCAGTTTCCATGACTGGATGTGTGGAGCAGATAAACACACATCAAGAATAATTTGGGGAGAATTGGTTTCACCCTCAGGTGAGCACAGAGGCTGGAATGCTCTTTCCTGAGCACTTAGCTGTGTTTGTCTCTATGGAAGATGCAGGGGAAGAGCGTGACTCAGGCTTCGTGACTCACATTACCTCTTCCAGAGCTTCTGCTGGGCTGCAGCTCATCCCTCCCTGCTCACTCAGCGTGGTGCCAGAGCTCAGAGACACAGATAAGGCATTTCTTCAGCTGGGAAAGCACATTGTGCTGGCTGAAAGCTATTGATTGCAGATAGTGCCCGAGCAGATGAGAAATGCCCCGCTGTGTCAGGCTGTGCTGTGCCATTGCACATCCCTGTCGCTCAYACAGAGATGCTCTCTGGAGAGAGCCTTTCCCCTTTCCCTGTGKCATCAGCAGCACCCAGAGCTGTTGGACTGGAGGTTTTTGGGAGCACCTCTGTGCTGCTCACTGTAGTAGCTGCTTCTACCATTTCTGAATCTGCAGGTTGTACAAAATAAGCTTTGTCCCTCACTACAGTGGGTGACTGCCTCAGGAAGTTTGCACCAACACAGAGGCTCTGATGTTGGTTACAGCTGATTTTGTGTGTGTGATTAGAATAYCACAGCTTTTTAAAGGATTCTGTTACAGACCTGCTTCATCTTAYGGTTTTAGGTGCCAAATGAGAGATGAAACATAAACAGGCCAAGATTTTTGCTCAGATGAGGTCTTCCTTTGAAAGGCTGCCACAAGTAGACTSAATTTCTGTGTGTTGCATCATCTAAACCTTGGAAGCCCAGTGGCGTTTGGTCAAAATTCATAACTTCTCAAACTACTCTGCTACTCATTTACTAGAAAATTCAATATTTCAGTAACRCCTTAATTCCTACGTCATCTTAGATACTTCTGAAGATTTCCTGTGTGTGTAGAGCTGCAGCCTSTTCCATAGACAGTGAAATACTTCCTTCAGTATTCCTAAGTACAGTTTGCCTCCTGCAAGAACWACCAACCAGCCAGAACTTTTAAAAGACCTGAGACCTCCTGAGTGAAAATAGAGAATTACTTTAGCTCTGCTCAGGAGAGTGACTAATGGAGCTGAGGGATACTTTCCATTGATTTCAGTGCCAGAAAGATCAAGCTTCTTGTACTTAACATGGCTTAGACATTGATTTTGAAAAATTTCAAACAAGGTGAACGGAGGTGGCCTTTTCTAAATAGGAACTCAAAGCCATAAAAGGAACATTTTCTGTGTTCCTACATCCTTTGTGAACATGAGAGGCTTCTGTTAGGCTGCATTAAGAGGAACATCTAATGCCACCAGAATCTCACCTTCTTRTCTTACAAGTGAAAGAACATAAAGTACTGGTTTAATTCCTACCTAGCATTAATAATATTGCTGGAGCGACATTTGTGTTGCCAGTGAAGACTGAAAAAAAATGTTTAAGTCTTCTCAGTATTGGAAAACATAAACTTTTAACTCCATTGCAAGCCCAGGGTGATCCTTATCATGCAGCTATTTTGTTTTTGTTTTCCTGCATACTCAGGAGTCTTATTCCTAGATTTTCTTGCACTCACAGAGCAGAATTAGCCTGTGGAACTTCTTGCTGTGTACTTCAATAGAAATCAAGAGTTTGAAAAATTAAGAAATTAATYAACCAGGAACATGAATTAGAGAAATAACTGGGACTATCATCTTCACATGCTTGAAGAATTTTGAAAAATGTCCTTTATTTATCAGGGCTTAGACACATGCTGTTTGGACTGAGGACAAGATTCTTTTACAGGCACATTACTCACTGCTAAGTATCAATTTTTCTGCTGCAATAGCTGGTCCTCACCATTGCTGTAGCTGGACCAGAGAGTGCCAAGCAACAGCCAATTAACAATTCCTCTGACTTATTGGTGAGTCACAAGCATTTTGGGCTGTAAAACAGTTTCTTCAGAGAGAAGAAAATATTCTTGGCAGGAATGGAGTTTTTAATCTCTCCAGCCATCTGATGAGGGATGTGTTCTTGTTGGCAGGTAAAGCTGGACCCCTGTCTCAGGAAGCATCTGTGGTTCCCGCTGTGGAGAAGGAAGTGAAGCTCTCTCCTACCCTGCCAATGACACCCTGCAGTCCTGCTGAACCRCCCTGGCTGTCCCTGGCCAAGAAGAAAGCCAAAGCATGGAGTGAAATGCCCCAGATTGTACAATAGCAAATGACACGAGCATCYTTCTGTGCATTGCCAATAGCTGTGTTAACTCCATTTAATCCCTTCTTTACTGTGACCATTTTTTTTGGAGAAAAAAGAGCCTTAAATCCTTTGATCAGACTGTTGTATGTAAATAGACAATGAAGAAATGCCACWGTGGGCTTAATTTGATGTATTAGGAAGCTGAGCATTTCCCACTACCAAACACTTGATTCATTTTTATATGCTTACACTTCTGATGGTGATGTTCTAAGAAGACAYGCTTCAGGCTTTTGAAACATTTCTCTAGCAAAATACGTTTTTAAAGTTCCTTTCAAAGAAACTTTTCCTTTTAAAAAGACCAYACAGTATTTTGTGCAGTTTTGGCCTTGAGCTAAGAAATTAATGTATGCTGTAAAACAGAGACAATGCTGGGCACTGACGCATCGTGAGTCATGGGCATTGATGTCATCACACTCCTCTCTCTAATGCYCTGGGATGGGCAGCCTGACTTTGCTTCAGGTTGTTAATGGATCTGTTTTGTGATAGCTGTAAGATCCAAGCACGCTGTGRGCTGGAGGGATTCTGGCTTTTGTGTGGTGTGAAGCCTCAGTGCTTTGCTCACACCCACTGGCCTGGCCTAGAGCTGCACACCCGTTCTCTCCCATGCACTGGAAAACCACCACACTGTAACACAGACTCTGCTTTTAGCTATACTTTTAGAAATCTGGGGTAATTTAAACRTTCTACTTAAAACAAAAATCCCTCCTTTCTTTAATTATGACAAACAGTGATTTTTTTTTTTTTTTTGGGTGAGATTCCTCAGCCAACTGTCTCTCTTAGAAAGAGTGCATTGGGGGGAGAAYTCTTTGCTCCTTGAAAGTGGCATCTTGCTTTTAAGAAATGCCCCTTTCCATGTCCATGAAGATGTATATTTAGTCAATTGTATCTAATATTTGTCATAAAAGGGCATCTGCTTTCCTTGTTGTCTCATCAGTCTTTAGCCATTAACTCGACATCAGACTGAGAATGTGCAGCTGGGACAGGATTATTCTCTCAGGGCCTGGCCTTGCAGTCACTTGAGCTGACAAAAGTTTACTATTGACTTTAGAGGATGCAGGCATTTGAAAAAGAAGCTTTGTGAAATGATGTTAGTGGCTTAAGTGACAGTGGCACTTGTTGGTCCTTTCAGTTCTTGCAGCATTGCAAATGGATGTAGTTTTTGTTTACAGTCAGTGCAAAGTTTGAAGGCTGACTTGGCTGATGGACTCTTTTTAGCTGGAAAGTTGGAATTTTTAATGGAAAATATTATCTATTGATAGGGTTAACTGCAAACCAAAAAAATTTGGTTTCAGATCAGCTCAAGCAAGACTTTAATCTTCTAGTCATGGCCTGAATTTAATACAAAACTCTTGCAATTTGAAAACAGTATTAACTAGGAGCTAGACTGTGATATGAWTTTTTTTTAATATAGGTGGAAACTTACTTGCCCATGGAGGCTCAGAATCTATAGATACTATTTATTCTGGACTAACACCAGAAAGAGTAGGAATTTCACATTGGCTTGGTAATCAATGCCTGTTTTGTTACTTGTTTTTCTCTGCTGTAGGAAGCATATCTTCTCTTACAAAGAACTGAAACATTTGTATTTCTCTGAATCTTTTGAGTGTAATGTAAATGAATATACTCAGCTTTGATTTCTGAAATTCTGTACAGCTGTCATCCCACCACAAGCTYACTGACCCTGTGTAAAATACAGGCCTTTCTACATTTACCAAACTCTCTTCTCATTTTGTTCATGTGGATTGTGGTTCTTTACCCAAAACACTGCAAATGATACTATAATCTCTCTTTCTCTGTGTTTCCTTTTGATTTTAATATTGTTCCTGTCTTTTTTGTTTGCTATGTATATATGTTTTTGTAACCCTTGTCTCAAAGGAACCCCTTTTGTATTCCATTCCCATATTTGGTTTACTATTAAACACTGTTGCCCGTGATGATGGTATAATTTCTGGGGAAGGAGGAGGGATGGATGTCCCTCATTCATTAAGGAAAAAATAAAGAGAGGTCTTTGGTCAATATTGACTCTCTCCATGGATAAACTGCATAGATTTTGTTTTGAGGTGATTTTGTGTGGTTTAAGACTGATCATCATAGCTGATCAGACTGAGGAACTTTTCTAAATCTCACAAAGTTTAAAACATCATCAGAGAGCTGATGGCTCTCCTGTTGCTCTGGAGTTATTGCTCCTTCAGCACATGACTGGTTTGAGGGAAAGCGCTCATGGTCATAGGAAACCTTGAAAATTCATGTTTGTGTTCAGAGAAGAGCTCCAGGACATCCTGGAGAAAAGAAGAAAAAGAAAGAAACAAAGAAGAAAAACACAAGACTATCAGGCGATGTAAACTTGAAATTCACTTGTGTTCCTGAGTTCTGAAATTCATGTTTTGAAGTTTCTCTCTGCAAGTACGAGAACAAAAAGCATCAAAACCGAGTCTCATGTAGTCACAGGAGGTTAGAAGATGKGATTATAAGATAAATGTTGAAATATCAGTGATTTATTGATGCATTTCTAGAAGTTGGTAGCTCTATTAGCTACTATTATAGTTTTGATTTCTTGTTGTCCTAGAGTAGATTTTAGGTGTTCGATGAGTAAAAAGAACTAACAGAATAAGCTCATTTTGGGTGCTCATTTCTAGACACAGACACTGTCTTTGAAAATAAGCTGTGTTGAGGTGCGGAGTTGGTTTGCAGAATGTCGCTGTGAKGTTCTGTGGCTCAGGATCTGTGGTGGAGGATGGAGGAAGCTGTCCCTGGAGTTCCTGTGCCTGGGATGTGGCTCCGTGTGACAGCAGAGGGTGCTGGTGCCATCCCTGAGCGGCACAGGATGATTTCGGTGCCTATTTCCATGTGCACTGTTACAGCGAGAGGAAAGCACTGAACACCAGCCCTTCTCATGCTGAAATTTGGATAGAGAGGGGCCCCCTGATAGAATATAGGATACCTTTTTCAGGGCTGTTGTCTAAAATAGATGATGYAATTTGTTTTGAAGTATTACAGCAGAAATTCTCAGCTCAGACAAGCTGCAGTTGCGGAGCTTGTGCCACCTGCTCTCCTAAGTGATTTCCAGATCAATACAGGAATAATATCAGCCTGTGAGGGTACTCTGTCCTTTGGAACTGTGCCTGGAAGAGGATGGATCTGAAGGATACAGGTCATGAGAGATGTGATCAGCAGCCTAATGAAAAAAGCAAACATTTCTCTTTGTCATTTCCTCCAGTGTTTGGTAACCTACTTACAATTTTGTTAGGGATCTATCCTGGTTATAAGATTTGACAAACTTGTCATATCAGWCATCACCAAAATGTTAGTAATGATGATGTGGAACCTCTTGGGAAATCTGAGCATCTGTTTAGGATTCTAACCTTGATTTGCTTGCTGTAGTATAGAATTCTGTCTCCTCTATGTTGTTAGAAGTTATTGCACCCAAAGTATCAATATTTGTTATCCCAGGCTACAGCCTGAGATAATTCTTGATGCTGAGGTTCACTGAAACCTCTGTTTTTTTATTGAAAATGGCTTTTTATGCCTTTTAAGGAAGCAGACAGRTGAAATAAACTGTAAATTCTGAAACTGGAACACAAACCCATGCATCTGCCCAGAACARAAAGGTTGCTCAGGTGTTTCCATCTGGACAGTTGAAGGGACATGGCTGGATGATGATGAATGGAAGTGCAACTTGAGAAACAAAAGGCTTGGAGTGGGAAGCTACAGTTCAAATTACTGTGTCATAGTGGGATGGATCTAAGCCCCAGGAAGGGAACTAAAAAGGTTCTTTAAACTTGGCCCWTCCTGCATCTCTCCCTGCACATRAGGGATGCCAGATTTGTTGCTTTGAGCCACGTTAAGCAGGTGARCACCATGACTGCACTGAAAATCAAAACCTCTTGTGAGCTGCTGATSAAGCCCACAGCAGTGCAGCACTTTAAATGGAATTGCTGTATGATCTGTGCATTAAAAATGCAGCTTCTCAGGAGTGAGCTAAGCCAAAGTTTAGCAGCTCCCTCTGACTTGAGGGGCAGATTATTTATTGACTATGGAAAATGTGAGGTGCTATTTTTATTCTCATTGTGCTAGGAATGATTTATAAAGAAGCTATTTTAATAGCTGTTTATTTTTTAGAGGCAGTTCAAAGAAGAAAAATCTAGAGGCAGATTATCTAAACAGGATTATTAACTGTCAGTTCTTGGACTGATTTGTAAGCCAAGTTAGTCACTAAACAAGAAGCAGGTATGGAAATGGCTGAAACAGGGAGTATTTAATTTATACAATTTTGTGTGATGTAGAAATGGAAAGACAGAGCAAGAGATTGATTGTCAATAATMACCTACATGGAAATGGTTGTTTGGCACCTGGAAGACTCATTCCAGCCTTTCTTCTCTCTGCCTCACAATCTATTGCTTCCCTCTTTAAGCATTCTTACTTTTCATTTGTGAGGTCAAAACCAATTTTTATTTCACCTGTTTTGTAGTCAGCCCTATTTTACAGGATTTGGATGAAAAGCTGACAACCCCAGGATCACAAACCTGTCAATACTGGCAACACTTGTTCAAAGTTCACCCCAACCTCCATGGTTAAGCTAATACTGCATTGCATTTTCCCTGTTACACCATTCTAACTCCAAATTAGTTKTTATTTACAGGTATTTTTCCAGCACAGAAGGGTGGGGTGGACTGCTTTAAAAGGAGAGCATTTCCACATCGCTCAGGAATATATTTCTGTGGCATTGAGGTAACTTTTTCCAAGTTACACAATAGGTTCTGTGTAGTAACTGCAGCAATGTATGGGGAAGGGTCAAAGTCCTGGGACTGTGTTGTGTTTCCATAGAGTTTAAATTCCATGCAGCAGCTTCTCCTAACGGTGTCACTGGCAGAGCAGGAGGGGATGGTGCTGGCTGGTGATGCTCAGGCTGTGCTCAGTGTCACTGTGACATGGGCAAGGGGGACAAAGTGACAGCCCTGAGCAGCAGTGCAGGGGGACCTGCACCCCAAGGTGCAAATTTACCAGCTGTGCCTGTGGGATGAAATAACTCTGCTGGACTTTGTGAGCTGTAGAAATATGTTTTATTCATGCAGGAGTAAATAAAGTGACATTTCTGTCACAGCTAGATGTACAAATTAGGAGATATCTACATTAAACCGGAGCTGTGTTTTAAACACAAGAGGCATTTAGTCAGGTTGGATCCTGAGTCATACATATTTCAAAGAGGAGCAATAAATATCTATTTTAGTAGAGCATTTAATTCGTAAAGGGACTTCTGCCCAAAGATGAGTGACCTCATCTGTAGTTGCATGAAAAGAAATCAGAACAGAGCCTCATTTTATATTTTTTTTCCCCACTTGGTCAGAACAGTTTATTACATAAGCATACTTAGTGTTATGATCCTTATAAAAAATAACTGTCTCCTTACTTTGCATTGTTTGAAAAATAAGAGCTTTGGCTGTGAGATGTACTACATATTGTGGTAGATTAATCACAAAATAATTGCATGTAAAATGCTAGAAGAATCAATATTAGTTCTTATTTGCTATTTACTGAATAATTTCAGAGCATGATTTGCTACTAAAGCCCAAATTCTGCAAAATGCTCCAGCATGGATCGGTGTGGGCTGGGGCTTGGACTGACCCCTTGGGTCTGCTGAAAAGTAGATTCCAGGTGTAGTCCTGCTCTTCACTGATGCAGTGCAAATTGGATTTGGCCCCCTTTAAGAGATGTTCAAGCAAAGTGGAACAAAAGCTTTCAGAAAAGCGTGGGGTTTTTTTGATAGTCAAGCATGTCATTCAAATCCAAACGATGTAACTCGGGTTGAAATGGCATGGGCTGATGTGGCAAAGTGTAATATTACAATCTAGAGTCCAGCCATACTTGAAGGTGGGGAAAGTTGGGTTTTACCACTCACTCCTAGGAATTCAAGTCTGGCAACCAGGTTGGTGTGGCTCTGGTTGGGCTGTTGGTTGGGCTGTGCTCARCCTGTAGATGTGTTTGGCTCAGACTTGGGTGTGAAGGTCTTCACTTATCCCCAGGCATTGCACCCTAAAGTGGTATCTGAAGTGGTCAGAAGTTCCTCACAAATGCATCCTCTCCAAAGCCACGTTTGCTCAGTCCTTCCTGAGAGTCCTTCAAACCCCATTGAGGAGGGGCTGCTCCTGCAGTGTTTTTGTGCCCACAGACACCCTGCACGTTTGGTTTCCGTGCACCCAGAGGCTCCCTCCTGCCCTGCAGCAGGAGAAGTGTTTGTGCAGCTCCAGTTTAGGGGCTCTCTCTCTTGTGGCCAGTCCATGGTATTAGGAATCATCTTGCTCAGTGGGTTTCCTACAGCACAGGTATCCTTATGGCTGCAAGACACTGATTTGGCCCAACATGCTCAGTTTACATTCAACAGTCTCCTTTGCAATTTCACCAAAATCGCTGGAATTGACACAAATTGGGTAAATGTAATTTATTATGCTGGTTTATATCTTATTCCATCCTTTTCCTATGTATTTTACCTTTGAAGGCAGTACCTTGAAAGTGAGGGTATACAGATACAATGCTCTAATTCATTTTTAGAGCCTGCCACTCCTTTAAAAAGGCAGTTTGTATCTCTGGAAAGCTAATGGCACAGCAGAGGGAGCTGGGATGGAGTGGTGGGATGCCGGGACCCCTCCGTGTGTGGCACAGCCTCTCGACCTTCTGTGCCCTGGGCAGCAGCCTGAGCCCTGTTTTGGGAACAWTGGGGTGCAGCAGTGGTTTATATCTTATTCCACCCTTTTCCTAGGTATTTTATCGGGGTGTCCGGCCCATCCTTGGGCACCGGGATGTCCCGTTCCGAGCGGGCTCCATCGCCCGGGGCTGTGGGAGCGGCTCTGCCCTTCCAGCGCATCGCTCCCTGCGCGCTCCGGGGTTGCGGCTCGCAGRCACACAGCCCTGGCTTTTATTTACTCTCCCCTCGTGTTTCCCTCGCTGTGCTGATGTAACCGAGGCCATTGCATAATAAGTCCTCAAAATTACTGTCTCGCAGCTTTTAGCATGTGAAAGGAGCGGAGCCAGCAATGCTGGCGGT